GGGAAAATTCCTGTCCATATAAATACGGGCTTAACTTTTTCAATGCCCACACCAGGGCCAAACACTCCTTCTCCACTGCCGCATAACTCACTTCTCTGGGTAACAGCTTTCTTCTGAGATATGCGACAGGGTGCTCTCCTCCATCTTCCCCGACCTGGCTCAGCACAGCCCCCAGTCCATACATGGAAGCATCTGTATGGATGAGAAAACGTTTGTTAGGGACTGGGGCAGCCAGGACAGGGGCATTCACAAGAGCTTGTTTGAGTGCTTGGAACGCAGCTTCACAAGCTGGAGACCACAGGACCTGCTTAGGAAGATTTTTCTTTGTCAGGTCAGTCAGGGGTTTAGCAATAGTGCTGTAGTCGGGGACAAAGCGTCTATAGTACCCTGCTGTCCCTAGGAAGGCTAACACCTGGGTCTTGGTGATAGGTGTGGGCCAGTTAGCAACTGCCTCTATCTTGGCTGGCTCTGGCCTCTGGCTCCCACACCCTACTCTGTGACCCAGGTACTGCACTTTAGCCATGCCTAAATGGCACTTCTCTGGCTTCAATGTCAGGCCAGCGGCCCGAATCTTGTCCAGTACTACCCCTACATGTACTAGGTGTTCTTCCCAGGACTCACTGTAGATCGCAATGTCATCCAGGTATGCACAAGCAAATTCCTGGAATCCATCAAGAAGTCTATCCACCATACGCTGGAAGGTGGCCGGGGCATTCTTCATCCCAAATGGCATGACCTTAAATTGGTACAGGCCAAATGGGGTGACGAAGGCCGACTTGGGGATAGCATCCTCGGCCAGGGGAATCTGCTAGTAGCCTTTGCACAGGTCTATGGTGGTCAGATAGCGTCCCCTGGCAATGCGATCTAACAATTCATCTACCCGGGGCATCGGGTAGGTGTCAGTGGTGGTCCGCTCATTGAGACGCCTGTAGTCCACACAGAACCGGGTGGTCCCATCCTTCTTGGGCACCAGGACTACAGGCGAGGCCCAAGGGCTATCGGAGTGTTCGATGACCCCCAGCTGGGTCATCTCCTGTATCTCCTTCCGCATTCCTTCCCGGACTGCTTCAGGGATACGGTAAGGGGGTTGTCGCAGGGGTTCTGTCCAGGGGTTTCTACCTTGTGTACAGCTAGGGTAGTGTAACCAGGTTCTTGGGAGAAGGTCGCCTGCTTTTCCCACAGAAGCTGTCTTGCCTGGCCCTTCTCGGTAGAGCTCAATCTGTCCCCTAGCTGTACTAGGCTAGTAAGATCCGTCTGGGGTCCCTCTCTAACAGGTCTGGCAAGGGTAAACTTTCTGTATCATCTGCAGCAGGGGCACATACTGCAGCGACATTCTCTGGTCTCTCTTGATACTCCTTTAGCATGTTCACATGGAAGGATCGCTGGATCCTTTCATCTGAACAGCTGGCTATAAGGTAGGTAGTATCGCATATCTGTGCTAACACCTTATACGGGCCCTGCCAAGATGCCTGCATCTTGTTCTCCTTCACAGGTTTGAGTACTAACACTTTCTGCCCAACCTGGAAGACTCGCTGTCGGGCACCCCGATCGTACCACCTCTTCTGTCTCCCCTGAGCCACCTGGAGATTCTCCCTTACCATTAGGGACAGTTTCTCCATGCGGTCCCGGAGTTCCAGAACATACGGTACTATGGGGGTCCCTTCCTGCTCTGTCTCCCCCTCCCAGTGGCCTCTAATGAGATCTAGGGGTCCGCGGACCCTTCTCCCATATAGCAACTCAAAGGGGGAGAACCCAGTAGATTCCTGAGGCACCTCTCTGTAGGCAAACAACAGATGAGGCAGGAATCGCTCCCAGTCTCTGCAAGTGTCAGAAAAGGTCCTCAGCATCTGTTTGAGGGTGCCATTAAATCGCTCGCAGAGACCGTTAGTCTGTGGATGGTAAGGTGAGCTAAGCAGCGGTTTAATACCGCACACCTTCCACAGTTGCTGGGTGAGCACAGCGGTGAATTGGGTTCCCTGGTCAGAGAGAATCTCTTGAGGGAACCCGACTCTGGTTAAAATCCTAACCAGGGCATCAGCAACTGTTTCTGCCTCTATATTAGACAGCGCTACTGCCTCTGGATAGCGAGTGGCATAATCCACCACGGTGAGAATATATTTCTTACCGGATGGACTAGCCCTGGCCAGTGGACCCACAATGTCAACGGCTATGCGGGCAAAGGGCTCCCCAATGATAGGCATAGACATAAGTCTAGCTCTTGGGTGGTTCCCCCGCTTTCCTATCCGTTGACATGTGTCACACGTACTGCAGTATGTCCGAACAGCCTGATTAAAGTTTGGCCAAAAAAAAGTTCTGCATGATCCTATAGGCTGTGCGGCGGGAACCTAGATGTCCAGCTAGGGGAACATCATGCCCTATCCGCAGAATCTCCTGCCGGTATTTTGCGGCACCACCAGCTGTCGATTAGGCGGAGGGGCAACACTCTTCGGGGAAAGCTTGGGGATCCTATACAACCTGTCCCCCACCCACTCATACCGTTCCCCATCTAATCCTTCCTCTCCAGTATCTGCTCTGTCCCTATACTTCTGGAGGGTCGAATCTGTCTGAGTTTCCCTCCCAAACTCCTCTGGGGAATCCCAGCTAATAAAAGTCTGTTCTAGGGTACCAGTCGGGGACTCGGTTCTTACCTGGGTCTCAGCAGCAGGTGGGCTGGTTCCAGCAGCACGGGTCTGGGCACGGGTAGTCACTGGGTTGATAGCGGCAGGTCCCATTGGAGCATAAGCGGACACCAAAGGGGCCAAGTCATTCCCAAGCAAAACATCGGCCGGTAAGTCTTTCATGACCCCCACATTCACGTGTCCAGAGCCCACCCCCCAATCCAAGTGAACCCGGGCAACCGGTAAACGGAACACTGCACCTCCCGCCACCCTCACTGCCACAGTATCTCCAGTGTGCTGATGTTCGGAAACAAGGTTCTTTTGGAGCAAAGTCATAGTGGCTCCGGTGTCTCTCAGACCAGTTACTGCTTTGCCATTTAGTTTAACGGTCTGCCTGTGCTGTTGACGGTTATCCTGCTGCGCTGCTTGTACTGGATCCGCCTCATGTAGTACACCCCAAAATTCCTCCTGCTCCAGACAGTGAGCGGAAGGTTGGGGTGGGTGCTGATTCCCGCCGGCTGGTCTTCTCCACGACTGGGCTTGGCTGGAATTGTTCAATGGGCACTCGGGTCGCTTGTGCCCCAACTGCTTACACCCATAGCAACGGATAGGCTGTGAGTAATCCCGGGCGTTGAACCGGGCTGGCTGAACATAATTGTTTGCTGTTGGCATGGTGGGGGTGCGTTGTGCTGGGTGTTGATACACTGCAGAGGTTGGAGGGGCTGCTGGTTTGTACTCCACTCGGGTAGGGACCTTGGCTGCTGTCTGGTCCAGTTTCCTGGCGTCAGTGTACTCATCAGCCAGACGAGCAGCTTCGGGTAAGGTAGCGGGTTTGCGGTCCCTAACCCACTCTCTGACTCCTGCAGGTAAGCGGTCAAAACAGTGCTCCAACAAAAATACTTGCAGCACTTCTTCCCCAGTTACCGCTTGGCACCCTGCCATCCAGTGGGCTGCGGTGCGGTGTACTCGGCATGCCCACTCAACATAAGAATCACCAGCCTGCTTGTTAGTGTCCCGGAATCGTCGCCGGTATGCCTCAGGGGTCACAGCGTATCTGGCCAAAAGGGCATCTTTCACTGCCCTGTAGCTGGTAAGTTCCTCCTCTGGGATGGCCCGAAACGCCTCACTGGCCCGGCTGGATAACTTCCCAGAGAGGATGGGGGTTCTCCTGCGGGTGCCTTTCGAAATCAGCCAGGAACCCATCAATTTCTCCTTCGACTTCTACAAAGTTCCGAAATGCAGCAAAAGGTACTTTTCTCGTTTCCATTATTATTGTACGGTACCTCAGCTGCTGCAGCGCCTCTTCCTTGAAGCGCCTGTTGTGCTGCTACTGCTGCTTGCACTTGCACCACAATATCTGCTGCGGGGTTGGGGCCAAAATGTGCCAGCCTGATCTGAACTGCCCGGTTAAACTGTATCTCCTCGGGTGTTAACTCCAGTATGCCAGGCACATCAGCTCTTCCCGTTCCCTGTGCTGCATCCATTTCCAATAGTATAGCAATAATCTCTCTTTTCTTGAGATTACTCGCTGATCGTCCTCTGCGTTCTAATATATCTTTAAGGGTAGCACGCCTTAACACTTAATACTGCATTTCCAACCTGGGATGTGTAGCTGGCCTTCTGGGCTGTAGGATTCATCCCTTCGCTTGCCACCAATTGTTACGACACGTACCGTCGGGTAAATGAAGCCGCCGTTTAGTCAATAATCCCCTTCTCCAGAAATGCAGTTTAAATCCAGCCGACCGCCAAACTCCCGAACGAAGTCCACGAACACGGCAACTCCCGATCAGCAAAACAGTCGAACGCCTTCCACAGCTAAAAATAACGAAAGCGCTGTCCCAGTAATAATTCCCCCACAAACGAGACCAAGCTCCGTCTTGAGGGTCAAATGAAGATCTGTTTAATGGGGGCTACCTGCCCGGTATTTATGCAGGTCTCCACAAGGTGGACACTCCCCGAGGGGACCTTGTGGAAGACTGTAAGACATATTGGACAGTAGCCAATCGCAGTGGCTTCAATAATAGCCCTTCCCATCTTGCCCATAATTCCGTCTTCTCTACCTCGGAGATAATTAGGAAGAAACCTAATTATCTCCCAAGGTAGAGACAATCGCCATTTTGGAATACAGTAATAAAAATACATTAAAATACATAATTGCAGAAATACCGAATACATATAGTTCGTGTAACGTATCCCCAGACAGCCTGGATCTGAGTGCATGTTTTCACCGAATAGCGCTCAGATCTGATGTATCTAGTCGAATCGCCATGGAGTCAAAGTCTTTCACCAGTCCTTCGGTATACGAATGACTCCATGGGATGGCTGTCTGGGTGAAAGTCCATACGAATGAATAAAAACTCCCGAACGACCGACGTTCGCATGCCTTGTCGAAATGGAAGGTAGGCAGCAGCTTCCAGCGGTGTTCGGTAGTTTAAGTGTCCGTTTTTAGTTCCATACAGTTTGTACCGAACACCGCTATGTGTTCGTATGTCCCAAAATGGCCGCTGCCTCGTGGTCGACATGCGAACGACGACCACCCGTACGAATGGAATAGAGAGGTGTCTGCGGTTCACCACAACGTTCTAATTGGGGCCAAGAGGTTAACCAGCAGCACACTCCTCTCCTGGGTGGTTGTTCGTTCGGTAGTTTCAATCGGTAGTTTGCAAATTACACGAACGGGGTTATATGAACAGGCAATTCAGCGAACAAAGGGAAACAGATCAACCAGCAATACAGATGAATCTGTCACAAATATAATAATATAATAATGCTGTATAGTACAGAGTAATATATTAATATAGTAATGCTGTATAGTACAGAGTAACATTAATATAGTAATGCTGTATAGTACAGAGTAATATATTAATATAATAATGCTGTATAGTACAGAGTAACATATTAATATAGTAATGCTGTATAGTACAGAGTAACATATTAATATAGTAATGCTGTATAGTACAGAGTAATATAATAATGCTGTATAGTACAGAGTAATATAATAATATAGTAATGCTGTATAGTAAAGAGTAATATATTAATATAATAATATAATAATGCTGTATAGTACAGAGTAATATATTAATATAGTAATGCTGTATAGTACAGAGTAACATAATAATATAATGCTGTATAGTACAGAGTAACATATTAATATAATAATATAATAATGCTGTATAGTACAGAGTAATATATTAATATAGTAATGCTGTATAGTACAGAGTAACATATTAATATAGTAATGCTGTATAGTACAGAGTAATATTAATATAATAATGCTGTATAGTACAGAGTAATATATTTTTAGAGTAATGCTGTATAGTACAGAGTAACATTAATATAATAATGCTGTATAGTACAGAGTAACATATTAATATAATAATATAGTAATGCTGTATAGTACAGAGTAATATATTAATATAGTAATGCTGTATAGTACAGAGTAATATAATAATATATTAATGCTGTATAGTACAGAGTAACATATTAATATAGTAATGCTGTATAGTACAGAGTAATATTAATATAATAATGCTGTATAGTACAGAGTAACATATTAATATAGTAATGTTGTATAGTACAGAGTAATATATTATTATAGTAATGCTGTATAGTACAGAGTAACATTAATATAATAATGCTGTATAGTACAGAGTAACATATTAATATAATAATATAATAATGCTGTATAGTACACAGTAATATATTTGTGACAGATTCATCTGTATTGCTGGTTCGTCTGTTTCCCTTTGTTCGCTGGATTGCCTGTTCCTATACCCCCGTTCGTGTAATTTGCAAACTACCGATTGAAACTACCGAACTAACGACCACCCAGGAGAGGAGTGTGCTGCTGGTTAACCTCTTGGCCCCAATTAGAACGTTGTGGTTAACCGCAGACACCTCTCCATTCCATTCGTGCGGGTGGTCGTCGTTCGCATGTCGACCACGAGGCAGCGGCCATTTTGGGACATACGAACGCATAGCGGTGTTCGGTACAAACTGTATGGAACTAAAAACGGACACTTAAACTACCGAACACCGCTGGAAGCTGCTGCCTACCTTCCATTTCGACAAGGCATGCGAACGTCGGTCGTTCGGGAGTTTTATTCATTCGTATGGACTTTTACCCAGACAGCCGTCCCATGGAGTCATTCGTATACCGAAGGACTGGTGAAAGACTTTGACTCCATGGCAATTCGACTAGATACATCGGATCTGAGCGCTATTCGGTGAAAACATGCACTCAGATCCAGGCTGTCTGGGGATACGTTACACGAACTATATGCATTCGGTATTTCTCCAGTTATGTATTTTAATGTATTTTTATTACTGTAAGTTAAAATGGCGATTGTCTCTAGCTTGGGAGATAATTAGGTTTCTTCCTAATTATCTCCGGGGTAGAGAAGACGGATTTATGGGTAGGATGGGAAGGGCTATTATTGAAGCCACTGCGATTGGCTACTGTCCTCCACCTTGTGGAGACCTGCATAAATACCGGGCAGGTAACCCCCATTAAAACAGATCTTCATTTGACCCTCAAGACGGAGCTTGGTCTCGTTTGTTGGGGGGAATTATTACTGGGACAGCGCTTTCGTTATTTCTAGCTGTTTGAAGGCGTTCGACTGTTTTGCTGATCGGGAGTTGCCTTGTTCGTGGACTTCGTTCGGGAGTTTGGCGATCGGCTGGATTTAAACTGCATTTCTGGAGAAGGGGATTATTCACTAAACGGCGGCTTCATCTACCCGACGGTACGTGTCGTAACAATATTAATATAGTAATGCTGTATAGTACAGACTAACATATTAATATAGTAATGCTGTATAGTACAGAGTAACATTAATATAGTAATGCAGTATAGTACAGAGTAATATTAATATAATAATGCTGTATAGTACAGAGTAACATATTAATATAGTAATGCTGTATAGTACAGAGTAATATATTATTATAGTAATGCTGTACAGTACAGAGTAACATTAATATAATAATGCTGTATAGTACTGAGTAACATATTAATATAAAAATATAATAATGCTGTATAGTACAGAGTAATATATTAATATAGTAATGCTGTATAGTACAGAGTAACATAATAATATAATGCTGTATAGTACAGAGTAACATATTAATATAATAATGTAATAATGCTGTATAGTACAGAGTAATATATTAATATAGTAATGCTGTATAGTACAGAGTAACATAATAATATAATGCTGTATAGTACAGAGTAACATATTAATATAATAATATAATAATGCTGTATAGTACAGAGTAATATATTAATATAATAATGCTGTATAGTACAGAGTAACATATTAATATAATAATATAATAATGCTGTATAGTACAGAGTAACATTAATATAGTAATGCTGTATAGTACAGAGTAATATATTAATATAATAATGCTGTATAGTACAGAGTAACATATTAATATAGTAATGCTGTATAGTACAGAGTAACATATTATTATAGTAATGCTGTATAGTACAGAGTAATATAATAATGCTGTATAGTACAGAGTAATATAATAATATAGTAATGCAGTATAGTACAGAGTAATATAATAATGCTGTATAGTACAGAGTAATATAATAATATATTAATGCTGTATAGTACAGAGTAACATATTAATATAGTAATGCTGTATAGTACAGAGTAATATAATAATGCTGTATAGTACAGAGTAATATAATAATATAGTAATGCAGTATAGTACAGAGTAATATAGTAATGCTGTATAGTACAGAGTAACATAATATAATACTGCTGTATAGTACAGAGTAATATAATAATATAGTAATGCTGTATAGTACAGAGTAACATATTATTATAGTAATGCTGTATAGTACAGAGTAACATTAATATAGTAATGCTGTATAGTACAGAGTAATATATTAATATAGTAATGCTGTATAGTACAGAGTAACATTGATATAGTAATGCTGTATAGTACAGCGTAATATATTAATATAATAATGCTGTATAGTACAGAGTAACATATTAATATAATAATATAATAATGCTTTATAGTACAGAGTAACATATTAATATAGTAATGCTGTATAGTACAGAGTAATATATTAATATAATAATGCTGTATAGTACAGAGTAACATTAATATAATAATGCTGTATAGTACAGAGTAATATATTAATATAGTAAAGCTGTATAGTACAGAGTAACATTAATATAGTAATGCTGTATAGTACAGAGTAATATATTAATATAGTAATGCTGTATAGTACAGAGTAATATAATAATATAGTAATGCTGTATAGTACAGAGTAACATTAATATAGTAATGCTGTATAGTACAGAGTAATATAATAATATAGTAATGCTGTATAGTACAGAGTAACATCAATATAGTAATGCTGTATAGTACAGAGTAATATATTAATATAATAATGCTGTATAGTACAGAGTAACATATTAATATAGTAATGCTGTATAGTACAGAGTAACATATTATTATAGTAATGCTGTATAGTACAGAGTAACATATTAATATAATAATATAATAATGCTGTATAGTACAGAGTAATATATTAATATAGTAATGCTGTAGAGTACAGAGTAACATTAATATAATAATGCTGTATAGTACAGAGTAACATATTAATATAATAATATAATAATGCTGTATAGTATAGAGTAACATATTAATATAATAATATAATAATGCTGTATAGTACAGAGTAATATATTAATATAGTAATGCTGTATAGTACAGAGTAACATTAATATAATAATGCTGTATAATACAGAGTAATATATTAATATCGTAATGCTGTATAGTACAGAGTAACATTAATATAATAATGCTGTATAGTACAGAGTAACATATTAATATAATAATATAGTAATGCTGTATAGTACAGAGTAATATCTTAATATAGTAATGCTGTATAGTACAGAGTAATATAATAATATAGTAATGCTGTATAGTACAGAGTAGCATATTAATATAGTAATGCTGTATTGTACAGAGTAACATTAATATAGTAATGCAGTATAGTACAGAGTAATATTAATATAATAATGCTGTATAGTACAGAGTAACATATTAATATAGTAATGCTGTATAGTACAGAGTAATATATTATTATAGTAATGCTGTATAGTACAGAGTAACATTAATATAATAATGCTGTATAGTACAGAGTAACATATTAATATAATAATATAATAATGCTGTATAGTACACAGTAATATATTAATATAGTAATGCTGTATAGTACAGAGTAACATAATAATATAATAATGCTGTATAGTACAGAGTAACATTAATATAGTAATGCTGTATAGTACAGAGTAACATATTAATATAATAATGCTGTATAGTACAGAGTAATATATTAAT